CCTCATTGTATTGAAAGTTGGAATATGCTTTAACCTTGATAAGATTTAGATCTAATTCTTTTTTCTTTACTAGGCTCAACATTCATACTTACATGAACTAATTTTGTTCCTTTAGTCATCTTTTGTGATTTTTTTGGGATTATCCTTTTTTATAGGTTTTCATTTGAAGATACATGCTTGACTATTAATGTGAATCTTGACCTTATTATTAACTAGTACTACTAGTAGTATAGTAACTATCCCTACTAGTTATGCTCTGTGGAGGAAGACCAATCAGCTACCCTTGCTTGGAACTTGCTTTCTCTTTCTATTTCTCCAATTTGTATTCATGTTATACACATCTTCATATTTTCTTTCCATAATTAACAAGAGATCTATTAGAGTAAAAGGTTATTGTATTATTGCTATTATTTTCCTTGTTACGCCTGAGTATTTCAATCAGATGGATTAATACATGTCTTCTTTAATATTCTCTTTAATAAGCTTCTCATTCTAGTTCTTGATCCAATTGCCTTCTATCACATTATATAGTTACTGAGTCTATATGAATTGTTCTACTTATTAATTCCTCCAACACTACCTTGAAACAAGAGATTTTTAAAAGTTAAGTTCTTCTTGTAAATTTCCTAGTATTAAAATAAGGAACTATATATGTTTATTTTATGTTTGATTCTACTATGTATCAGTTTTCAGTCTTAATTCCTTCTGGGTAGCCCTAACATAATATCAGGTTTGATCCTAAGTTTTTCTTGGAACTGTTATATTTAAAATGATCTATTTTAATATATCTTTTATTGTTATCTAGAATCAACTTTCCCCAAACAAGTTGTTACCAATAATTATTGCTCTTGGTAACCACTCAAAGTTTTTATCTTTTATCAAGGTTAAGATTGAGTACTAAATATTCTGGACTTCACTTTAACCAATCTTCTTTCCAAGTTCTTGTGAGTTGTCCTAGCTTGTTTTCTTGCATCTCTCTTGTTATTAACAAGTATCATTTTGAAATAGGTCTCTTACTTGTCTTTTATAAGAGTTAGAGTATTCGCTAATCCAATACTTATCTAGTTTTATAGTTAATAAGCTGATCCATATACATCAACTTATTATGTTTAAGTAATAGAATGGCTTTACTGTATTTTTTTATTGTTAGATAATCTTTAATTGAATTATTTTCAATACTCCACTTAAAGACATCATTCCACTTTCAGCTATAGAAAGTTACCTCCATATCTTTGATCAGTTTCAATACTTGTAATACAAAGTTGCTCCTTTCCAGAAGATGATTTAGTAAATTACATGTTAATAGATTGAGAAGTTCACAATACTTAATCTGTGATTGATTTAACCTGATAATTATTGTAATTCTGACTGGCCCTAAGTCATTTAACCTATTGCACAATTCTGTTATCTGACTTTCTTTTTGTAATATTCAAACACTCTTTAAATTGTAAATCTTGGGATGATATACTATACTATTAGGTATAAATCAACATAGTATAGACTTATTTTTAAACAGTTTTCTATATGCCATTATCAGGACATTACACATTTACCAGAATAGTATATTATGCTGTATTTTGAATTCGATTCTAGATATTAAGACTCTGTTCAGAATATAAAGTACTTATTTGTCAGTTAACTTTTTATTCTTTAGGAACTTGATAACTATTTTGATTTCTTTAAGCATCTATTCTTTGAGCTTGATAGCAAATTTTTTCATTACCTGTTCAGATCCCTAGAAATCATGTTTGTTCAACTCTATTTAATTTTCTAACTATTTTTTTATTGACATCTGCTTGGACTTCTTCTGGATATTGGTTAGGGTTACTAATAGTAATTAATACTAATTGGCTACTATTAATCTACAAGTCATTTGCCCTATAAAAGATTCTTGCTTCTTCCAAAATCTTTTCTATATTCTCTTTGGATCTTGCTATTCATGTTGTATCATCCATAAATGTGATAGCAGCGTGCCTTGACTTTAGTTTTCTTTCAATGTTTCTGGATTCCAAACTACTGATATTATGTAGCATTTTGTTTTATTATTCTGAATCTTATACAATAAAGGATCATAGAATATCCTCTATATTAGTAGTGAGATAATTTCTTCTTAATCAATCACATATCCTGTTATAATTATTTTAGTTAAATCTTTCTCAAATATAACTCTAAATTCTTGATTTAAAAATAGACTCATTATAATTTGAATAAAGCCTTCTGGTATCTTGATTTTATTTATTGCCTTAATTAACATATTCAGGCCAAGAGTATTATATGCTTTTGCTGTGTCTTGAAAAAATATCTATAACTCCTTTTTATTTTCTCTTGCTTTCTTACAAATATTAATGAAAATTTCAATCAGTTCTACTATACTTTCTTCTAGTAATTCTGCATAATTAGATCCTTTTAGTTTATTATTAGTCTTGCAGATATTTTCCAATCTATTTGAGAATTTTGATAAAGTATTTTTGTGTGACCTCCAGCAATACTATTGGTCTGGTGTTGAGAAGTTCACATCCCATGGTTTTGATTTTGCTATGGAGTATATGTGGCTTTGCTTCCATTCTATTGGAGTAACTTTCCACCTTAGAAAGTAGTTAAGTATCTTTCTAAAATATTTTTTTTCTTCTTGACCTAGTCTTTTTAGCATTTTATAACTGATTTGTGATCTTACTGAGGCTTTATTATTGGGAAGTTCTTGAAGTAATTTATGTAGTTCTTTTTAAGAGATTGGTTTCAATAGGTCTTTATATAACCTTTTATTAATATAGCCTTTAGGATTGTATTCTTTTTTTCAATCTTCTGTAAGGCTGTCAAAATTGTATTTCATTTTTTGGATGCCTCATAATGATATTTCCTTATTTCTCTTTCAATTTCTCTCTTCTTAGTAGTTATATATTTCTTTTCTCATTTTTAATATTGATCCTATCCAATGTTATTTTGACTTGCTCTCTGTCAGTCAAGGAGTTTACCATTCTCCTTTGATTGCTATATAAGTCATCCCTTGTCTTTTTTGTCTTTGTATTTTGACAAGCAAGTTTTAAGCCTTCTATTATATTCTGTATATCCTTTTTTAATAGTTTTTATGGAATTTGAGAAATACTATATTGAATGCAATAGTTTTCAATCTGATGATTAAGACTGAAGGTAGTATTATATTTCTTAATCACCATGTTAAGGGCTTGCAATTTGATTGGATTATATGTACTTTCTACTTTTTTAAAGAATACAAATAGTTGAAGAGCCCTCTGATACTTGATGAATTCTGATCTATGTCTATGGTGTTTTTCTTGGGAAAGTAGATAGCTTCTTGGTCATAAGCTTGTTATATACTGTCTTGCATATTTGTTCTTTGGATGTCTTTCAGATCTTGTTTGCTTGAACTTCTCTTTTACCATTTTCAGGTTCTTTTTTAAACAATAGATTTATTGTCATTCTTAGTTTGTGATTTATGCTTTTACTGAATGTCTTTCACTGCTCAGGTGTTAATCCTTTTATATCAATTCTTTATTTACTCTTTGTGGGAGACTTGCTTTTGATATCTTTTGTGAAAATATTAGCATTATGCATTGTTAGCACTAGTATAGTATAATTACTTTCTATTGTTTCCTTTATACTTTGGTTGTTGAATCTGAATATTGAATAGTTTGTAAGGCTTTGAGAATAATTTTATTATATTAATTTAATAAATATATTTAATAAATTATTATATACTTTTCAATAATGAATTTTATAATAAACTTTTTTTACTAATTCTTTAATCATATATAAAAAAGTTGTTTATAAATTTTTTCATTTTTTTGTTAATAAAGTCTTTATACTTTCTTTAAAATAACTTGAAATTTGACTTCAAAAGTTATCTATACTTTTTTTTATTGTTTATAAATCTCTTCACTAAAAAATACAACTTCCAGTAACCATGAAAATTAGTTAATACCTTTAATACCAATGGTAAGAAAGTTTTTAAAAGATCTATAAAGTATTTAAAGACCTTTTTAACCTTTGAAACAAGAGGCATATAGAGATTTTTGTATAGTAAAAAGGCTTATTTTCTTTTTTTTAACTGTTTGGGTTCTTTTAGAGCTTCTACTTTTATAGTTTTCTAGAAAATTTTGTCTATCTCAATATAATCTTAAATTTTAGGTAACATAAATCCTCATTAAAAATAATTGGCTAATACAAAACACATTAGTTTTTAGAATATAAACAAGCTTTTATTAGTTATACTCATATATTTTAATAATATTATTGAGGATTGAAAAAATATTTTGAAAAAGTTCAAGTTTTTTATTAAAGATATCCATGATATCAAAAAATCAAGAGGTGAACAATATAAATTATAAACTCTTATCTTTTAATCAAGTTTTTTAGACAATAATAAAGCTTTAATAAACTAAAGCTAAGGTTTAAATACTTTTTTTGAGATATCTTAATTTGATGCTTATTTAAATAAAAGACTATTTAAATTAATTTGTCCAATACTATAGGTAGTAAAAAAATTTTTTCCTTTATAGTTCAAATAATGTAAGAAAACTATTTAATTAAGCAGATTCCTTTTAAAAAAGGTTTGCTTTATTTTTGAACTTTTGGTAAATCTTAAATTATCTTTTTCCTTCTATTTATTTTTTTCTCTCTTTTTGACTTAACAATTCATTGGTTTTAGATCAATCAATAATAAAAATTATTAACAATGATTCTAATAAATAATAGTTAATTCAATCATATTAGGAAATATAATATTGTTTTAAAATTTGATTTAGAATACTTACAGTATATATGAAGATAAGTTAGTCACATTGTAAATAAGTTTATAAATTATTTTAGCTTTTGTTTTAATGTCACAATAAAAACAAGAAATTGTGACATAATTGCAGATTAAAAAAAAAACAATAATAAATTTTATAATTTTTTTAAAAAAATTTTTTTTATTAATTCTTTATTCACATACAAAAAAGCGATTTTTTTTTAATAAAATCTTAATATTCTTCTTGCTTAAGTACTGATTCCAAGCGTTCTTGATTGCATTCGGAGTACGACCATTCCCTAATTTTTGAGCGATAGATGCCCACCCCAGCCCTTTTTCAACGAGTTTGACAATGATGTCATCTTCTTCAGGTGTAAATGCATCCTTGTTAACTAAAGTAAATTAAAGAAAAAATATGATTCTTAGAAAATGTGATTCGGCATTTAAAACATGAAACATCAGCAACCTCACCTATGTGATTAAGATGACCACACCATCTTTAATGTGGTAGTAAAAAGAATTGTAGAAGAGTTGCATAGAAGACGCGAACAAACGGAAAAAAAATTTTTTTTTTCCTTACCGTTCGCGGCATTGTTTTGCGTCCCGAGTGCCTACATAATCCGAGACCTTACTCCATTCCCTTGCACCATAAATTGTAACATAATCTTTCAATCTTGCATCCTCCTAATTTTTTCCGCTTTAATATTATATTTTGAAAAAGAAATGACACAAATGGATTTCATTATCGTTGTTACCTCGTCGCTAAATGTACCATGTTTATATCGAGCACGCTCAGCCTTTGGCATGTTTTTCAGACGCAATGAATTGATTGTTCCACTTTTTTTTTTTTGAGAATGAATCATAAGCCGGCTATCTTTATATTCGAATGGATTATTTCGCATTAAAAAAAAAAAAGAAAGATAAATATCAAATTTGGAATCCATTTGTAAATACAGTACATCGCGTGGCATGAAAAATGCAGTAGCACGGAGCTGGATGTCCGTTATACAGTATATCCGTTACAATTATTCTAAACAAAAAATCACGAGAATATATCAGATGCACCATGACCATTGACATTAAAGGGAATACTTCAATGCATTGTTTAAAACACATACGAACACAATAAAGTTATCATCAGTATATGCATATTAGAAACTCTAAACTGTTTTAAGCGTGACAGCGAGCCTTCCGGATGATCAATCAGCAGCCTTGGGTAATTGAATGAACGACCATAATGAGTAATACTTTTTCCGAGTTCTCGCTCGAAAAGAATTTCTTTTTAATGGTCATGCGAATCCGTCGTACGACACGTGGACTCGTATTCACCTTCTCCCTGAGATCTCTTCCAAGTACAATGCATCACCTGAATGTAAAAAAAAAAATCAAAAACGCGAAGGATATTGAGAGCGATAAATCATCTTCCATTCCCAAATTTTAAATCTTTTGTTTTAATAATTACTAGTGAGAATAACCTGTCCTGTTTCCACAAGATAAGGACTTCAATTAGAGATAGCATTAAATCTCTTTCCTCTGTTACTTTGCAATCCTCTCTTGCCATTTATTTAACCTTCTAATATTACAACCATTCTTTGATTTTTTTTTTGGTTTTTTTTTTACCGCAATAAAATATGCCATGTGCGCATCACGTTTACATGAAGACTGGCTTAGATAAGATTTCGTACATGCATTATATCATATCATTGTCATGTATAAAAACAACAAATTATTTATTAATTTTCCATTCATAAAAATTTGAATAAAAATATAGATTACGTATAGTATATTTTTATTCTAATTGATGAAAAATCAAGTTTTATCTTTATGCAACCTAATTTTATTTGAATATAATTTGAATTATTAGATATAACTTTTAATAAATCTAATTTGAAGATAAATTTTCAATCTTTATATAGTATTGAACTATAATTGACAACTTAAGAGTATTACTACTATATTATTAATTTATACATTAATTTACTGTACAATAATTCTATTATATTAATTTAATTAATATATTTAAAAAATTATTATATACTTTAATAATAAAAATAGTTTCAAAACTTATAATATACTATTTAAAGATTTTTACCAATTCTTTAATAATATATAAAAAAGTTGTTTACAAGAAAATTTTTTATTTTTTATTAATAAAGTCTTTATACTTTCCTTAAAATAACTTGAAATTTGACTTCAAAAGTTATCTCTACTTTTTTTTTATTGTTTATAAATTTCTTTACTCAAAAACATGACTTCCAGTAACCATGAAAATTAGATAATACCTTTGATATCAATGGTAAGAAAGTTTTTTTAAAAAGAAAAACTGACTATAAAGTACTTAAGGACCTTTTCAATCTTCAAAACAAGAGGCTTATAGAGATTTTTATATAGTAAAAAGGTGTATTTTCTTCTTTTTAACTGTTTAGGTTCTCTTAGAGCTTTCACTTTTATAGTTTTCTAGAAAATTTTGTCTATTTCAATTTGATATTAAATTTTAGGTAGCATAAAACCATATTAAAAGTGATTACTGATACTAAACACGTTAGTTTTTAGAATATAATAAGTTTTTATTAGTTATACTCATATATTTTAATGATGTTTTAAAAACTTTTTCCATTGATTCCTATTTTTTCAGAAAATTTCCTTTTTTGATAATTTTTTTGAAAAAAGAGAATCCAGTCCCAAAAACAAAAGAAAACCAACATCAAAAATCATTCACTTACAAGAAATACTATAGAAAACCTATAGAAACAACTAGTTATAGTATAGGAATAGGTAAGTATTTAAAAAACTTCTAATCTTTCTATACAAAATTTTTCTTTTTTTAGGAAGAACAAACAAAGATAAAAATTGAATTACAGTAAGCTCTTGGAAGCTCAACATTAATCTTATAAAGCTCTTAATCAGGCCAGTGTAGATTAATATCTTTCTAAATATCAAGAGGAACCTTATAAACAATCATTTAGACTGATAAATTAGTTTAAACTCAAATATTCATAAAATTCAAAAGGATGTTCAAGCTTTATTGACTATACAATAAAGAAGTATATATATTACAACAAATAAAATTTTAACAAACACAATATCATGTGAATATGTATATGTATATTCTCTCAAAAAAAAACAAGATCTAAAAGTTGTGTTATATAAACAATATTTACAGATTATCTATATATTTATAGTAAATGGATCAACAATATTCATATTTTAATGTGTCTATATAAACAACATTTACAAATCATTTATATTTATATTAAACAGATCAATAACACTCATATTTTCATGTATCTACAACAAGCTAATCAATAATAACAATATTATTATCACAACAAATATGTGAAACATAATTTAAATTCATTATATAACAACTTTAAGGTTTTTCTACTTTATCAAATTAATAACAAGGGATAAATAAACCTTTATCATATGTTATAAACAATAAAATACAAGTTAAACCTATTAATCTATGCCATATAACAAGCACAACAATATAAATAATATAAAGATAACTACAGATCACAAAGAAATATGAAATCTACATTCTAGAAACCCTGATCAATTTATTAAACAAGTATAATCAAAAAAAAAAACTATAGATAACACAAACAATCGTCAATACAATCTCTATACAAGAAGACAATCTCAACTTATCCCTAGTCTTGAAAGATGTTCAATTATAGATAGCAATATAGCTAAAATCCTTAATATTGATCATACATACTACATTCACTAAAGCTACAATTTTAAGACAATATATTCTATATTTATAAGCTTAAGAACAAGAAAAAGAAGATGATTTGTTGGCCCCCTTCTTGTAAGACAAGTATATGGAACTAATAGAACAAGAGGAAAAAATCCATTGGTAGCAACAAACAAAGCAAGAAAACCATATTACAAACAACTTATATTCAAGTTTGATAAAACTACTAAATGAAAAAACAGTTATAGAAATTCAACCAATATATACAATAGAAGTTTCCAACAATGTCAAAATAGAAATAGATAATAAAGAGATTGAAGATTAATTGGAAATAAAGAAAATTCAAGAAGAAATTAAAGAAGACAATATTGCAGAGCTACAATCTACAATACTAGAAATAGATCCAAATTAACTAGTATTAATCCATTTTATATTATCAAAAATAGAATATAAAAACTGAAAACATTAACATTCAGAATATCAAAAGAAAGTAAAAAAGAAAAAATAGCATATCTCCAAAATTCTCTTATTCTATTAAAGAAATTTCAACTTTGCACAAAAGAATTTCTCAATAATAATGCTTGAACAACCTTTATTTTGAAGAAACAGAAGATGCATTGAATTGTTTGGAGAAAGTCAACAAAAAAAAAGATAAAAATTTCACAATAATATCTATAAGTACATAAAAATAGAAAGAGTCAGAATTTCTACTTGATAAAAAGATCTTCAGAAGAAGAGAACAAAGATCTATTCATAACTCTAATTGATATAGAAAACTCATAAGTATCTACTATATATATACAACTATCCAAAATTACAATGAAAAATAAGATATGAATTATTCCTTATAAACAGAACAATAAGCTAAAAGATCTATGGATGATCCACATCAAAACAGAAGTAATAAGAACTATTTTTACTTAATATGAACCTACTGATCAAGAAGTTAACAAAATCAACAAAGAGTGTAATGACCAGTTCTTAAGACTATATAAAATACACAATATATTTACAAGTTTATTAGTATGTGCCTTAAAACAAATCAAAGAAAAAACCTGTTATATCTTTAGAAATCTATACATATAAAAAGAAGAAAATATATAGTTATATATTTTGCAACAGCAGAAGATTTTAATAAAACACTTAAATAGTACATCTTTCTACATAGACACAAACTCATATGAAGTATTAAAGAATATTTTAAGATAGACATATAACAACAGAATGAAACTATAGAAGAAATAAATATCTCATAGCAAGAGAGACATAAAAAATCAAAGTATAGAACTAGTAGTATTCATCTCAAAGAAACAGATGAATCCAGTACAAATCAATATAACAATTACCTGGATAGAATAGATATTAAATTCAATAAAAAGCCTATATGAAGAAAAATCCTTATAGAAGAATCTGATCCTGGATATGACATAGAAAACTCTGATATAGAGTTTGGAAAAAGAAGATCAAGATTCTACAGAACAAATATAAGAAATCCAAAATAAAAATGTAATCAACAACTAGCAACAAAAAGCAATAAAAAACTAATCAATATACAGAAAAGAAGATATAAAAAATATAGTTTCAAAATTATCAACAATGAGATTACTAAATCTGAAGCAGAACAAAATCCATTGCAACAAATTCTATATAGCTAAATAGTAGAATGAGTTACATTGAAAAAGAAATTCAACTCTATTTTGGATCTATAAGATAGAAAAGAGCTAATTGCTTCTAAAAGTTGTATCAATTCAAATAGAAAATACCAGTAAAGAATAAGATTCACAAGAGGAATCTAATACTTCCTGAATCAAAAATCATTTCAAAGACAACAATCTAACAATAAATATATTCTTTTTAAACAACCTCCCTATCACTACACAACACCTAAACAACTTTATCAAGTTAAGCAAAACAAATATTATCAACAAGAACCTTAAAAAACAAACAATATATCAGAATGATATATTGCAATCCACTATAGAAAAAACTATAACTCATCAGGAAATTTTTTTGATAAAGAATTCCGGAGATCTCCACCTGTTAAAAATTTTTTGAAAATTTTGAAAAAATCTTTAAAAAACTTTCAAAATTTTAGAAAATTCGTAAAACAAAAATAATTTTATTAATTTTAATAAATTTTTTTTTTTTTGTGGACTCAGCTTCCAGTTGGTCTTTATTTAGCTTTTACTCAGATATTATATTGTTCTATCTATTTCAAAGCTAACTAGATATTGAAACTATACTAGCATGTATGTTGGAGTTACTAGAAAAGATACCTTCTGGTTTGAATTTTCAAAGGACCTCCATGGCCTGTTGCCTTCTTTTCAGAAAACTAACTTGCCTAGGCTGAGTTAGTGACATCTTCCTTGAGTTTATATGTAAAGAGGAAATTGAAGGTTTTTGTTTTTTTTTAATCCAGACCAATAGTATATACCAGTCTTCTAGGGCAGATGTTTGGAACAGTTTTGTTCCATTTTCCTTTTACTCTTTTCTCTATCTTTGTAATCTTCTGGGTGGTTTTCCATTCACTTACTACCTCATAATATCATTTCCAGACTATCCTTACATGATGTTGCAATTCTTTTATACACTTTAAAAGAGTGGTCTTGGCTTTCTTTCTATATATTCTTGCTCAAGCCTGAACAAATCTGGTGATGACTTTGGGAACTAAACTTCTGATCATCAACATGATCCAGAGCTTTACTTCCTTAGGTTTAATCTTTGTGGCCCATCTTTGAACCCAAGCTTGCTTCATTCTTTCTAGCTTGCAGATATATTGTATTGTTTCTATCATTTGTATAATGAAATCTAACTCATTTGCCTCACACTCATATATATGCATTTGATCTTCTATTGATATG